GCACTACATAAGAAATTGAGTGTCGATGCTATGTGGATGATATATGTACGTATGTACTTATGTATGCATACGTAAAGATTAAGAGACGCATGAATGCATGAGATCTGAAATAGCTATCACTACCGATATTAGGATCTTCATTTAACTAATAGGAAATTAACGAAAGGTAGAGATATAATTAATTCATGAAGATGCGTTCATAAGGATATTGCATAAAAATTAAGGTATATATAAGCTAGGTTAACGTAAATAATCCAAAGGAGATAAGATGACAATAAGAGACTTCGCTGGTATATTTAAAAGTTTGTCAAATAAATCGACGAGAAAATAAAACCAGCATGATTGGAAAGATAAACAACTTACATTCTCTGAGGAAGATAACAAAAGATCTTCTCCAACAAGTTGCCACGACTCATTATTTACGGGACTGAGTGAACGCTAAGGAATAAAGACAAATTTATAAAGATCGGGAAGGTTAAAACTCAATGTATAAGGTAGCTCCTAAAATTAACATTAAAAGTAAAGTGTAATAAATAAGAATAGCATTAAAAATGGGTACATTAGTGAGAATAAGTTTATTTACGCTACAAAAACAGCTTCAATACAAATTCAATAGGAATAGACAAATGCATCAAAATTTATATATGGACAAAACTCACGCTCCACTTAGAAATGTCAGTCTTTGGAAGCATATCTTCTTCAAAAGGCAAGTCGAGAGGAATATCTGAATATATAAATCCGAGTAAAAAACAAATTATCAGGATAATGGCAAATGCTTGTTGAAAAGATACCTGTTTCGCATAAAACATTTTTTATTTCATTAGGGTCTTCTCCAGATTCAAATAGCTTGTCAGCATGTTCTATATCTTGATCCACAGAAACTGTGCTGCACCAGGATAGAGAATTTTCGGAGTCTAGATAATTCGAACAGCAGGATATAGCAGCTCGCTTTCTGGGAGCTTCTTCGGTAAAGTCTTTTATTCCGGTCTCTTTATGAATATTATTAACATATTCTCCCTATTAGAAGCAATGATAATAAAGCCGAAGGAGATAATTTGGCAAAAAGAGGCAGATAAAGTTACCTGACCAGTAATGAGGTATTGAGACTGCGGAGGCTCAGTACTGGAAGAAAGAGTTCGGTGATGACCAGAGATGTCAAGGGTGTTCAAAACAGATTCAGAAAGCCGGTAGTCGGAAGGTCGCAAGGTTAGATCCATATTGGCCGATACGTCAATGGCATCGTATGAAACTAAATTACTAAACTATAAAAGAGGTGCCTACCAGGCCTTAGGTCACAAAGTTGACCGAAGGAATCAAGAAGATAGATATTGCTTGATTGCTCCAAAATTCCTGCCATGTACAGGACAGATGAACCGGACCATGTATTAAGAAGAGGTGATGTGAGATCAAGGGAAAACCTGAAAATCTCCAAAGCTAAATAATCTATAAAAATTGAATAAACATACACTCGATGAGCCTTAAGATAACAAAAATCATCTGCTCATTACATAAGACTGCTCCATTGCCATAAAAATTCCTAAAGTAGACAAATGTTCCTACATACTTTAAATTGTTTTTATCGGCCGCAACGGCAGAAAGATAACTGTGAAGAGTTGATTCATTAAGACAATAACGAACCCAAACCTAGCATTTAAGTAAAAAAAGGTTCATACCCGACAGTACCCTATCTGATTTCGCTTAGTAGGCAGCCTGGCCAAAAAATCTTTAAAGTGGTTGGGGACGTAACCTTTTAAAAAATTCCAGAAATTTATCTTCAAAAAGTAAGAAAATGTAGTTACCTTATCCTCACATGAAATTGTTAACGATTTAATTTGCTTATAAAGCTATTTAATATATTAGAACAATCATAGTACCGATTTGTACGGCCCTTCGCTGAGATTATGCAGGAAAATAGCCTCAATACATGAGCATATGGAGTTTGTGGTAGAATTACTAGATATATCATTAAAATATAGGACTATTTATACTCTTTTATAGTTTCCAGTGGTCTTCTTTCATGAAGAAGATGTAAATTCTGCACATGAACCCTAAGTTGGTCGCAAAGCTCGGTAAGCATCACAGGCTACAATTACGACAGAGTGGTATAGATTTATTTTTAAAAATAATATGAAAGAGATATATTTGTATATAAACCGCAACTCGACTTGTCAAATAAAAAAATCATAGACAGTTTATTGGAAATACCGGGTATTTGGCAAAAGCGATCTAAGTGTACTATTAAAGGAAACTCTCATATTGAGATATTTACCAAAATACTTTGAAATTAGTGTTTAAAAATTAGATAATTTATAAAATATTGGTTCAAAAAGATAAACATAAAAATTAAAAATTGTGACGATTGCCAGGCTTTCCACCAATTCGTCTATAAATCGACATAGATTATGAGAATAAAAAAACTTGAAAAATCAAGTCAATTCGTTATGATCTGTTTTGGAAAGAGTGTAATTCAAGCTATAATAGGCCAAAATTACAGCTACCTGACGCATTTTTTGTGCAATTATTGAACCTCTCGTAAGTGGTCAATAAAGATGGGTCAAAGAAGCACTAAGTCCTGATTTTTGTGATTGATAGGAACCATTCAAAAAAGTTATAATCCTAATACTTAGATGTTTTGAATTTTCTCATACAAGTGTATATGGATGCGATTGTTACTGAAGATCTGTATCCTCCCCTAAAATACGCATATTTTGATTATGCAATGTTGACTCATTTGATTTTTATACATTGCACGTGTTTTGTATGCATAAAATTTTCATGATATTTATGGGGTTGAAGAGTGAAAAACATGTGTAATTACTCTAGCCTCCTATCTTTACTCAGCGTTATTTATTGTAGCCCCTCTTTCTCTAAGCTTATCCAACAGCTACAAGTAGTTTTCACTTAATTTCCTACATTCATTATTTATATTAAGTTTTGGATATTTTTTCTGTGGATTAACCAATATTTCGTTTACTGGTAAATTCTTTATATCCAGCTAATCGATTTGCATTAGACCAGTCTATCTGGTGTAATGCGTGTGTTGTGTTCGTCCATTTTAGTCTTATTGGTCCACAAATCTCTGCAGATTGTCTTAGGTTCAGATTACACCTTATGCATAGGCCGATAGGTCGTTTTTACATAAATGCTACCAAATAAACACAACCCCGTATAGCAGTCCGATTCGGATAATGGGTCCGAAATATTCCGAAAAGATGGCATTACTGAGGAAAGTCTTATTCTTTCCGTATACAATGTCTTAATGTCTCACTTTCTCAGTAATTTACCTATTTTTTGATATCTAAGACAACGCTAACATTAGGTCTCTAGTTAAATGGTCCAGCTGCTTATCTTGCCAAAAATAGATGTTTCCGTCGATCCTATTTGCTAGTATTGAAAGTCAATTCTCGATTAATCCTGAAGGTTAGTCGTAATCAATTAAAAGGTTACTTAGCCGCCTCAGTTCCTGCTCACGATGATTAGCATTTGCAAGACCAGACTCTTTATTAGCATGGATTCTATAACTTATACTTGAACCTCATAAGTAAGGCTTTAAAATAAATTTAAAGGTAATTCTACATTTGCGGGTTTCCTATATACACTTCGACCCAGTTTGTTTGCCTCTTTACTAGTTAGGACATCGATGAAAGGCACAAGGGGTGTTGAGGCTGTGTAGGGATAAGAAATTGCACGAGTCGACTTTGATATATAAGTTTTCATAACGATAGTGCAAGGGACAGGATTAATGATGGAAAAAAATTAGCTGGATCAATTTAACCAAGAGAGCTTGTAAGAGGTGTGCTGCTAACTTGAAGATGACAATAGATAGAGCGTTGCAGAGGTGCACTATGGATAGACTGTGCTGATTATAAGGTTTTGGCAACAATACAATGCTTCTACCGAGCAACATTTGTCCTGTAGCTGCAGCGTAACAAAATATCTATTAAATAACCTAGCTTAATTATTGACGTTAGCTGAGCGGGGTATTCCTTAAAAAGAGAAAGGCTAGCCTTGTATCCTGGTGAACCCAAGAGAGAAGAAGTGAAATTGCGACACACAGATGGCAAGGTACGCGAAGGCGCACGCATTGGACATCAAAGGGAATAGTTGCTAGGTTGATGTTACGACTCTGTCAGAGGAATAGGCTCCAGGTCGTTGATGAAACGAGTGTCATGAATTCTCGTGGGTTGATCCCGAAGCAAACGGCTGAAATAAGATTGAGTTTGGTGATATGTAAATGTGGCGAACCGTGGCGGTGCGCAGGGACTAGAGCCGGTAATATCAAAAGGGAAAGGGTGGGCACTAGGGAAGTCCATAGGACCATGGTACTTTATACTCAAGACATTTGAGTGAATCAAATACTGAAATGTATTTCCTCAAAAGCTCATGATCTAATAGGTCCAAGAGCAGACTTAATACAGTAGCGAAATTTGCCTGGTAAACTCGACTTAATCGTTCGGATGAGTCCTAATCACTAATTGTCCTTGTTAAAAAAATGTGGGGATATTGCTGCAGGCGTAACATAGCAAATATCAGTGTAGCAATTCGGAGTAATATATATATTATGATCCGAAAAACGGGGGTTGCTTCTAAAATATAAAACTTTTTTACTCTGCAAGATGCTATAAAGTCAGATGCCCCGAGAAACAAAGAGAAAGAGTAAAGTCATATTTAAAACCAGCTGATAGTAGCAACTCAATTATGAAGGTGGCAAGTAATAGAAGTGTCCAAACTCTGCGGTTCGCAGCGGAGCGAAGAAAGTGTGACCAACCTAAGCAGTATGTCAGTTACTTAAAATACCTTGGTGTGGTTTTGGATGTCACCTGGTTGATTAATAAAATAGGTATGATGCAGTGCCAAACTTTGATTGGTTGGCATAAGATAAATAGCAAGCATTAGTCATACTCTTATGTGATTTGTCTGTCAAAAGATGTTGAGCCAGGTTACGTACGTGAATGCAAAAGGCAAAATATTTAATTGGAAAGTGTAGGAAGGGGTCACTGTAGGTACAATTCATTAAGGCCCTTTAACCTCAAATGACTCAGGAGGATTCATGACACACAATTCAAATTAAACTAAGAGCAACTAAACGAGCTTCAACAATGCGGACCTAAAATAAAGTTTTCCGACTTATAAGTATGTTTTTTGAGACAGCTCTTATAGCAAAAGATAGTTTATTTTTCCTATGAAACATCTGTGACAATGTCTATAATCTCCTCTTGCATTAGTACTTCTCATATAAAAATCTGTGATCCAAGCCTACAAGGCGTCTTCAAGTAATAGGGTATACCACTAGAATCCGATGAAATGATGATATCTACTAATATTTTATATAAAATAAGCTTACGTTTATTTAGCAGTGGAAATTGAACTTCTTTGAATGAAACCAGCAGTAGGCCTTGCAATGTAATTTAATCTCAATTGACATTCTTTTATAAGATAGTTTAGTATTCCGAAGAGGACGTGGACTGTCTACAATATAAAATGCTTGCACTCTACAACTTCAAAGTTGGATGTCCCAAAACGATGAGAGAATAAAAAAATGGTATTATCAAGTGTCCTATTTAGAAACGAATGAATACGGTATGGGGAGCTGACGCTGGGGACGATGCGATGACTCAAAGCTGTTAGGCAGCCTTTATTTGAAGTCAGCTCTGCGGGGCAACGGCTGTCCAGTGAATGCACAAATAACAAAACTGCCGTTTTAAGTCCTTGCATGGGACATAGACGTAAGTTGAATGCAGTCTCTCTTAAGCAGGAGACTGATAAAACTTGTACCTTCGAGGATGCAAAAGAGGGCGGCGCGAAATGGAAAACTCCAAACGACTCGTGTCATAGCAGAGTAAAAATAGAAAGGAAAGAAAACAGGGCCAAACTAGACAGTATGTTAGCTACTTAGAATACTATTGCGTAGTTTTCCATGACCGGATGATGTGGTGCCAACCTTTGCTTGGTCGACGCAAAGTAAAGAATTGAGATTAGATATACATTTGCGTGATCTCTGCCTCCAAGGCTGTTAAGCCATGGCTACGTATGTAACGTATGTAACAAAGCTAAACATTGAGTAAATAAATTGTAGGGATAAGTCACTACAAACTATTATTACAAGAATGTAATACAATTTCGAGCACACCTGGCGCTTATCAGAGCATTAATAGGGATTCAGAGTCGGTATGTCTGCATAAAGAGTATGCTCATTAATCCATTCACATCCCCTATTTCCAGGGTGGTACATGACAGAGTCAAAATTTCTAACGAGGTTTTTTTGCCCGACCGACAACCGTGGATATATGGAAGCGACTAACGCTGAATACTCGGTTTCAAATCTAGTTTAGGGAATATTCAAGTATAGCGACGATTCCTCTTTCCTCTCAGTTAACCGCAAACATCTTTTAGGCGAAAATAATATAGATGTTGGCTTAAACTCATTTTCGCAACTTGGTCCGAGAGTCAGGGAGACCTTGTGAAACGTAGCAAGTCCCTTGTCTTCAGCCGTAGCATTCGCGATTTCCAACCTCGAACCATTGACTTAGTACATTCTCAAATATTTCGCCAGCATCGTCAATGAGAGGTGTCCTCTTCAGCACAGAGTCACAACCTATTACTTCGTCACTTTTATTATATACACAAAGAGAAACTTGGTTTAAATGAATCTCCTGAGATAACATTGTTAGGGGGACATTCATTACGTGTGAAAGTGCATTAAGAAGAGATTCGTTGGTCGATCTCACCAGATGGGGACGGATGAATCCCGTTGTATTGCAGCCGTTTGGCTTTTATAAGATGTTCAGGTTGATGGAGATGATCAGAGCCTAACTTTAACCTTTTGATAACTCTGATTTAGGACCGGTATTGCGTATAGACGTTAACACACACACGCATACATTCTAGCAATAGTAACAGGACAAGTATGAAAGATAATCAGCCAAACCACTCTTTATCCATCGAGGTTTTTAATTTTTAATTTTCTTTTGGCGTAACTGAGTCTACACAAGAGGTAAGAAAAAGCCAGATAGTCTTCCTGGCCTAGTGTTAACGAAAGCCTTTTACAAAAATGAAACCCAGCTCTGATGATGTCCATCATTTGATGGACGAAAGCTCAACACGTTTTTACCCGAAACCAAGGAGGAAGTCCCGTGGATTGCGTCAACATTCATATCGTATAAAATCCAACCGGCTGCAGTACAACGAGTTTCATCCGTCCTTATCTGTTGAGATCGACCAACGAATCTCTTCTTCATGCGCTTTCGTACGAAATGAAGGTCACCCTAACAATCACTTTTATTAGTTATAATTTTGTGCTGATGATGGCACTTTTCGCTAACCCTGCTGAATCCGATGCTAGCAAAGCGTTTTGGAATGTACTATTTCAATGTTCCGGTATTATAAATCACGAATATTATGGCAGAGGACATAGGGCTAAGTATGTTCCATAATATCTCCCAGACGCCTCGACAATGTTGTGAAAACAAGGTCAAACTAATACTATAAAGCTAAAGGAGACTGCGACCAGACAGAAAGCCACTCAATCTTGGTCTTCATATCTACGATAATAATTAAAGACTAATATTAAAATTTCCAGGCTAACACATTTCTGCGTTTCGCTTGTGAAATATTAATTCTGGATAAATTGATTTCATAAAATAGTTCATTGCTTGTGCTCACAACATAAGATCTTGGTATTCTGATATCCTTGTTCGGGCTAATATTGCCCTCTTTGTCTTCAGCATTTTTAACATTTACGTCTTGAATATTAATTCTTTTCGGATGAGCCTCTTCAGCACTAGATTTGTGGAATTATTAATTACATACTATGTAGGCTACACAAAATATCAGGTGGCTCATTACAAAATTAATAACTCATATCTTTTATATCATGTGCTCACTCATTTCATGTTGAGCATCATTTCCTCAAAACGTTAGAGTAGTCTATTTGCTATAAGTATCATATTTAATTTCATTTAGACATTCCACACAAAAGAAAAGCTGAAAAATCTCAGGCTTTCCTCTGGTCTACACTGAAACTCCTAAATTTTCATGCTGCTATCGATTTCTGATATAAAGTCCTTCAGTATCAGGCAAGAAGAAATCATAAACTTTTTATCGTCATCATAAATATATGTAGCCTATTCAAGTTAGAATCTATTAGTAATATTCTTAGAGAGTAATGGGGCAGAGTCTTTGTCTTAAAAATTGATTATCATAAGAATTCACATTAAATAGTATTCTAGGAATTTGTACTTAATCCAGGTTAATCGTTTTCGAAGTTCATAAATAGGGTGAAGCCGATGGGGTGATAACTTATCCATTATATACACGTCCAAGCATTGATTGTGCTAATATATTTGCAAGGTAAAAACTGCAATCCCCCTAGATGATAGAGCCTTTTAGGAAGCCAAGGTAGAAGCAATGTAATAATATCCTGAAGACTAATCATTTTGATGTGGGAAAACTCCATTATCGGTCCTTAAATTAACTTGAGCCATTGAGGGTGTCTAATTTCTAATGCCATAATAATAGATATTCTCGAAAACAAAGGTTAATTATTTTTACAATTGGTTTAAAGGCCCCTTATTGCGTATTTGATTATAATTATGTATTAAAAACAATCCATCTCCAATAACTTTGCTGTTTCTGGAGTTTATGACAAGCCTAGCGTGGTATTGGTTCGACCTTGTTTTCGTAACTTCGTCGTCAGTGAGACCTTGTGTAGAGTACCTAGTCCCGTGTCCTTTGTCATAGCATTTGTGATTTCCAGCATTTAACGATTAGCTGAGTACATTCTAAAACGTTTCGCCGGCATCTTAGTCGTCATCTTCAGTCAGAGGACCCATCGTAAGCACAGAGTTAAAACTTATCAAAGTGCAAATTGAAGGCAACCCCCTTGGCCAAATTTCTATTCGACCTTTGTGGCATCACTCCTCGCCCCTATTTTTTGCTCTACCTTCTAATGTCGCATTTCTTTCTCTCAATCCTACTTTATATCGCCCATCCACTTATTCACACAATTGTGCTCTCGTTTCCTCCAATGTCGCCTAAGATTGTCTCGCTGCAAGTGGGTTTAATAAAGCGTAACCATCGTCAGATGCCGTTTGCATGGCTCCTGGTCTAGATTTTGCCTCCCCTTTTTACCTACCTGCTTGTTAATTGGCCGCTGCTGAACATTTACATTACTGTTTGGCTGTCTGAAGTCTGGATGCTTAAGAACCTTTGATTCCCGTCCTCGATTACGCAATATTCGAGGAGTTAGAGCAGATAATGAACATGCCCATGTACATGTCAGTGCCTAAGAATCTTCCTCTCTATTAGCTTTAGACCATATTTTAAACGTTTGGGAATGTACCCAGCTAATGGTCCCATGCTGGAAATCATAATACCATGGCAGAGGACACATGACTAGGTACGTCCCACAAGGTCTAACTGACACGGCTAGCAAGTTGCGAAAATAAGATCTAAACAACACTATACATCAAAATGAGACTGCGACCAAACAGAAGGCCACACTATCCTGGTCTTCATGTCTAAGCCAAGCGTAGTCTGCATTATATAGTGATTATTCTAATAAAACCGATAGCTTCCTCTATTTCAATCAAATCCGCATCTTAACATATTTTTTATTCAAAACAAAAAATGTGTAAAATTAACCTTAAAAATTATATTATTTTTAATTAATTAATTTTATGATTACAAAATCTGGATGGTACACTGGCAAGAATATATAAATGATACGATGCAATATTTAAATGCGCTATACTCATAGCTTGTAGTTTAATCTCTATTTATCAAAGAATTAGTTCGGCCAACCGCGCTTGCGCTTGTATTACCTTATTTGATGGATGCCTTGATCAAAACTCGCTTGCAGGTTTTGTCTCCCGCTGAATTAGTAATTCTTATTTTATTAAAACACATCAAAGAGAATCAGCGATTTTTCTGACAACTGCGGCTATAAATTCGACGTCTTTATAGTTTGCGACGCATTCGAAGGCAAGAAACTTATAGAGCGACACAGGTAACCTTAATTGTTAATCTGGCGATTCAAGACTTGTGCACGAAGCATTGAAGAATGAAATGAGTGAAATTCATGCACTAACCCTTAAAACATTGACCACAAAGCAGTATCAAGAACATAAACTATTAGATTCATAATTCAACCTCTATTGTTTTTTGCCTACCTTCAATCCTACTAGTATTTGTGTCCTTTTTGCATATTTTTTTCTATATGGGCAGTCAATATTTTAAGGTTGTTTATAAGTAAGGATATCCCTGGATTTCTTTATATTGTTATTTTGAGTTGCATTTTTGTTTGGGTCCAGAATATCTGATATTCGCAATCGGATGCAACGCTTCAGTTTATTCCATCTGGGTCACCAGCGTCAGTTGGACTATTAGAGACAATGAGGGCGTAGAGTATACACCATTGGAAACAGCACATTCTAAACATTGTCCGCAAATTCATGTCGATAGGATTTGCTCATTTGAGCGAAACATACGTAGCACTCTCATAGTCACTCATTCATTTAAAGGCTGGGAAAAGCAAATAGCTACGACTTATTTCTCCTGAATCTTCACTAATCACAAATTACCCTCAGAATAGCCTGATCTCTGTATTTAAATCGCTCTGGACGAGCTTTTTAGCCAGAATAATCCCTTACTCCTGTTTCCATTTTCCTCACGAATATTCAAGCGTTGAAATGCCCACAGCATCCAGGATATCTTCATTTATACTTCCACTTACCCACACAATCTTACTGATGTAGGTGACTCGTACTCGACATCAATCTTTCCTTAGCTTGCTTTCTACCTTCTATTTATTCTGAGAGAATTAGTCGGACGCCAAATCCTAGAACCAATGAGCTGACTTAGGTGAGTCATATGAGGCGTATTTAAGTTCCCGCAAGAGGCCTGATTCAACTCTCTAGAATTGTATACGCCCAGTAACCTAACCGCAACAATGGTAACGTTACGCAGTGACGGTGGTCTATTTCGGCTTAGTAAATCCGACTCGAGTTCAATCTTTTTTTCTGTATTTAGTTAAACCTAGGCTAAATTGAAGCTGCAGTCGACTTTTGATGACAGTATCTATTAGGAGATAGGGCTAAGTGAAATTGAAGAGCATCGGGAAGCTCATTTACACCTTTGTGAGAAGATTAAGCTGAGTTAATTTTTATTCGGCCGGTGGGAACTAATACTTATTGATGATCTGGTAGCACCGGAAAGCGCCGATACCGTATCAATCACCTAAAAGTTAGCACATAACATTCCCTACTTGGTGTTTTTAGTAGCAATAAGCTTTGGGGTGCTAGTAAATATAAGTGTGCGCCTGGATATCTGATTCCGCGAGACGCCCGAGTTAATTTTTCCAGTTCCTCTTCTCAGAAGTCACAACCACAGACTTCCTATAATCTTCATTCTATAAGTATGATTAGAATGGATATTAAGAGTTATTCCATTATGCGATTTCTTTAGTAAAAGTTCTAACACTGCTAGTAATTGCGCCTAACTGATAATGCAGGCGAAACGTTTGTGAATGTAGCCAATCAATGGTCCGATCCAGGAAATACTCTGGCAGATAATACAGAACCAAGTATATTCCACAAGCTCTATCTGACGCTGCAACCAAGTTGCGAAAAGAATATCGAACTAACAATTTGTGAAACTGAATTCGAAAATGTGAAGAAAGTGACTCAAAATTATGATTTTTCTATTAAATTTGAAGGACGTGCAAAAGAGAAACCAGAAGGCCGATGATCACATTTTTAGGGGGAAAATGTAAAAAGATCGAATTCGAATTTGTCAGGATGCCCCCTTGGTTTATTTTGATGTATCGGCAGGGAAGACCATTGGAATGGAGCTTGCTGATCGTAAGTTGGCCCATTGGAGGCCTTAAGTGCAACCTGAAAAGTGAAATAGAAAAAAAAGATAATACATAATTAAGAAGGATGGGATAAAAAGTAAGAATAAAAGGATATATATACATAGGGATATTCAACAGAAGTATATGAAAGATGGCATAACAATGAGCTTTATAAAGAAAAGGTAGTGGAGATTTGTTCAAAAGCTTAAAGTTTGGATCAGTAACGTCTTTTCACTTTCAACCTTAGAAAAAGTATGTCTACAGCCCATCCGAATTTATTGTATTTTTAACGTATGCGACAAGTCATGTTAGCTGCATTCCGGTGAACATTATAGTCTGTTAAATGTCAGGTTATTCCCGATCGTTCTGTGTCTGATTATTAAGAAGTTCTCGTTTTCTTTATTTATTATGTTTATTGTCCTTCCCTTACAATATAAATGCAATGGTACAGTAAACTCCCAAGCGATCCATTTTGTTGACTTTTCATGTTGTATAGATAAGTCTGTGAAATGTTGATCTCTCTTCTAGGATCGAACGAATACTCGATTTCATTAGCAGCAATCAAAACTTCTGAGCTGATTTGTGCAGACATCTTTTTTTAAATGGATGTAAGTAATTGGAGGTTGGAAGATGAAATAGTTGGCGAAAATCACGCTTACTGTTTAGGCAAACGTGAAGATATTGGGATTCAGAAAGGACAAAAAAGGTAAAGCATGGATTTAGTACATTTATGCAACAATAGGAAAAGGTACGTTAGAAAAAATGGCCTTGAGGAAAAAGTTATCGCAGCGAGGGGGGACTGATCAAGAGACTAGGGCATAGGACGTCATGGATTTGTTATTACGGATAGAAGCAGGATAAACGCGGTGGATACTAGAGCTAGTCAGCTGACAGTATACCTGTTTTACCATAGATGTGGTCCATGAAGCAAAGGCTAGACCATGAAAATTACTTAAAGGCTTTAGCTTTGAGTTAGTCTCCCAAACCCAGAACGTAGGAAATGAAACCTCGTGTAGCACAGATGAGGTGACATGGGTTAAGTGAAATACTTGAGGGGACTTTTATCTCGTATGAAAGTGCATGAAGAAGAGATTCTTAGCGCTTTTATACGATGTTCAAGTTAACAGTTCACGAGACCTTCGTTTAGGTTTAAAACAGGCTGAGCTTTCG